CCAGCTGCTGCATAGAATTCCATAGTGTGCATCCACCACATTTTACTGTGATGGCTAGAGATGTTGCAGCCACCTTGTGACTAGGAAGAAAAGTCAAGAGGATCTGAGAAGGTCCTGACATCCTTGAGTTGTCTAACCAATGCCAGGAGCTTCCTGCCCCTGAACTCTGTCATGTGTGCACAGCAAACCCCTATTGGCTTAAGCCACGTGTGTTAGTGAAGAGTTCAGTTGCAGACAACAGAAATAAATCTAGCTGGTTTAAGTGGCAGAGATGGAGAAGCAGGCTCTAGGTCCACTAACAACTTCCAGCTTTGAGAGTCTCATGACCTCCGCCTGGGATTGAGAAAACAAGTCATTACTACAGGAAGCTGACGAATCAGGAAGCTGCTCACCAGAGCCCCACCGAGGCTGCCCTGATCTGTGACAGCGAAGCGGATTTCCCATGCTGCGTAGCCGCGTTCCAAATTTGTATCTTGCGCAACTGGAGGACTTAAACCACAGATTCCTAGCTCAATGAATCCGGGAAACATTTTAGCTTTCCAGCTTCTGCAGCTCAGGAAAAAAAAAAAAAAAAAAAGAAGAAGTTATGGATTGATATTTAGCAGCCAGTCTACGACAGACACCACAGCACTGAGATCAGCTTTTGGTTACTGACAACCAAACGCATTCCTGACAGCACTGCAAAAAACAGCAAGGGCAGTCCATAACCTGCAGTATGGAGCAAAGAAGACACACAGGATGAGCTCTGTAGTGCTATTCATAACGTGAAATTATATATATATATACACATTTTAAATTTTGCCGAAGAGCATGTATGCTCACTGGAAAGAGACAGAGAGAAAGCTAGTGTGGGAAAGCAAGAGAGCATTCCCCGTGGGAATGTCACACAGCAATCCCTTCTCCTCCATCTCTCCCTCCTTTAAGGATTTTGGGCATGCTCACACATGTGCCCAGCATGTTTTTCAAGCTACCAGGTCCAGGACTCAAACCATACAGCAGGCCATGTGAGATCCCATCACCTTAACCACTAGGCAACAGGCTGGCCCCCTTTTTCTTTTCTTTTTCTTTTTTTTAAGGAATATTTCATGTTATTTATTTATTATTATTATTTTAATATTTGCTATAAGGCACATACACTCACCAGAGAGAGACAGACAGAGAGAGAGAGAAAGTGAGAAAGCAAGCTGCCAGGTCTGGGACTTGAACTGTGGTCAGCCACATGAGAGTTCAGTGCCTTAACCACCACACCACCTTCCAGTCCCCTCCCTTTTTTCATTTAAATGTACATTTTCAAGGACACGTAGGGCCCAGTTGGTAAAAGGAGGGGGATGGAGTAGGAGGGAGAGAGAGAAATAACAAAAAGTAAAATTAAACAAGATGGAGGTTTTGTATAGTTCGATGGTGGGCATGATATAAAGGGCGGAATCTGACTAGATCAGGTTTCTAAATCTGAATCCCCAGACCAATTCACTAAATTTAATATTAATTTAGCTTAAACAATAATATAATAAGTTATTAATTAAATACATAATTTATTTAAAACATTTCCTATTTACTTTACCACCACACCAAAACTAACCTATCAAATTTAACATGAGGGAGTCTTGAAAAGTTCATGGAAAATGTATATTACAAAAAAAAAAAAATCCCATGTATAGATTTTGAAATTTCACAGTGAACTCATACTAATTTGTTATCACATGTCTGACCAGGATCTCATCTGAGGCCCTAAAAAGGATGGGACATTAGTTCGAAAAGAGCGCCCACCAGAGCAGCACGAATTCTGCTGAAATGGTGGGAACAAGCATCACATGTATGGTGATGCTTGGGTGGGATGCTCATGGAGACAATGGCCCAAAGTAGTCTGCAGTTTACAAATGGGTACCTTGGTTTTGGTTGTCCTTTTGATTTATATTTTTAGTTTTTGCTATAGGGCCGGTGTGTTCGCCAGGAAGAGGGGGAAAATTTAAAAATTACTCCCCCAGGAGGGATGACCATGCTGCAATCCCTTCTTCACTTTCCTCTTGGGATTTTGGGCACACACGCACACACAGCCCAGTGTGTTTTTCAAGTCATCAGGCCCAGGCCTTAAACGTGCAGTCGGCAACATAGGATCCAGCACCTTAACCTCTATGCCACTTACTGGCCCTGATAACTTGTTTTAAGAAGGGATGAGATGCCAGCAGGTGGCATGGTGGCTAAGGTGCTGTGCCCTCCCCCATGGTCAACCATGGGTCAAATCCTGAACCTGGTTGCTCACTTTCTCACTTTCCCTCTCTCTTTCTGTGTATATCTCTCTCTGGCCACATTTAAAAGATAAATGAAAGAATAAATTAAATAAGTAATTCTTAAAAAGTAAAGAAAGAAAGAAGAGATGATGTTGTCAGTGGCTGACTGCCTTCATTAACATCAATCTGTTTTATGCTAATTGAAGAGGACTAGTGACTAACAGCAGAAACAACAGCCAACACCACAGACATCTCAAAGGGTTCAGCTTTGCAATTCTCACTGAACAATTAAAGTTGAGTAAACTTCCTCCTAGATGGTTACCAAAACTGTTCTGCTCAAATCAGCTGCAGACAAGAGCAGATCTTTCCGTGAACATTTTAAACCATGGGCTATTTGAAGAGTTGTAACAGGTGACACGTGGCTTTCCCAGTACGACCCTGAAGACAAAGGACACCCACATCAATGGCTACCACAGGTGGAGGTAGTCTAGCCTAAGCAAAATGGGCCAAGAGCAAAGGCCATGGCAGTAGTTTTGGGGGATGCTCAAGGCATTTCACTGGTTGACTTTCTGGAGGGCCAAAGCAGGATAACATTTGTTTGTTGTGAGAAGTTTCTGAGAAAGCTAGCCAAAGCTTTAGCAGGAAAACGCCTGGGAAATCTTCACCAGAGATTCCCCTGCCATGGCAGTGCTCCTGCTCCTCCCTCCAGCAAACAAGGGCAATTTTGGGAGCGTTTCAATGGGAAATCGCTAGTCACTCACCTCATGGTCTAGTCAGCTCACCTGACTTCATTTTTTTTTTTAGAGAGAGATTTTTTTGCTATAGGGCACGTGTGCTGCTGGAGAGACAGAGAGAGAGACAGGGAGACAGAAGGTGAGAAATCACCCCCCGGGGAGATGGCCATACAGCAATCCCTTCTCCTCCATTCTCCTCTCCGGCAGACACATGCCCCTAGCACGAGTTTTAAGTCAACAGGTCCAGGACTTGACTCCTAATTTGACAAGTCTTACGTTTTGATTTCCTTAGAACCTCAAAAAACGACAAGGGCTAGAGGCTCCCACCCCGCGAAGGTTCGAACAGTCCCACCCTACTTAGCGAGCTGCTTACAGTCTCTCATCCTGTCTCCCTCTGCTACCACTGGCCAAGCGTGCACCCCCAAGCAGGCTCTGGGAGCTGGGTTCTGAGCCGCCTTAATGCTTCTGTCTCCCAAGGCTCTGGGAGGGCAGCTGATCTCCCCAGAAGGCTGAAGGTGAGGGCGTTTGGGGTGGAGGAGTCTTTCAGAGGTGGCCGCCTGCAGGGGAGAGCTGCCCAGCTCAGGCCCAGCCCACTCTGCCAGGATCTAGGGGCCAGCCTGGGTCGGCTCCAGAGCCAGAGCACCTGCCTTTTCCCGCCCCCAATCCCTTCCTAACCCGGCTTGATCCAGCTCAGCCCCGAGGTGTTTGCAGCAGCTCTTCC